TAGTTACTTTCCCTCAGCATTTTTAAGATCTGTTTCATCATTTTCTTTATTCTGATGAGTAGTATTAAATACATTGATATATTGATAGTTTTCTTTCAGTGTAGTTGTTTTTTCCTTTGCAAATATTCTGTCTTTCTGATAACTAAAATTTTCTTGTTTGATATTCTACAATTTTTATGAATATATATCTAATTATGGAATTTGTGTGTACATGTGTGTGTTTGTGTGTGTGAGTTTGGGTCACACCAAATGATGCTCAGGGCATATTTGTGGCTCTACACTCAGGGATCACACGTGGTAGTGCTTATGGGACCATATGAGTTGCCAGGGATTGAATCAGGTCAGATGCATCAAGGCAAGCACTTTACCTGCTGTACTATCTCTCCAGCCTTATAATTATGGATTTATCTTGTTGATTTAAAAAAGATAAATGATCAAATACATATTTTTAATGCTACAATTCTCTGAATTGTAGTTATACTCCAGGATTATAGATCCTAGTAATAACTTATTCTCTATTACTATAGTTTCACTGTTTCTGGATTTCATATAGATTAAAAGTATGTAGTCTTTTATATCTGATGACTTTTACTTAGCATATTTTTTGTGTTGTATATATGCATATACACTGTAGCACTGTAGCACCGTCCTCCCTATGTTCATTGATTTGCTTGAGTGGGCATCAGTAACGTCTCCATTGTGAGACTTTTTGTTACTGTTTCTGGCATATCAAATATGTCACGGGTAGCTTGCCAGGCTTTGCCGTAATAGAAGAATAAAAGGAGACCAATAAGATGACAGTCAAAGTCATTTCCAACTTTAGGAACATTTATGTGCACTGTTGGGGTAATGGGTGTTTTATCATCGTGTGATTGTAATCCAAGCATGAAAGCTTGTAACTTTCTCACGGTGGTTCAATAAAATTAAAAAAAAAATAAATTCAATTGCTGAAGCATAGTGATAGCTCAGTAAGGTGAGTGCATGCATGTTTTGAATGCTGAAGGCATGGGTTTGATCCTAGCAACAGATGTTGTCCCCCAAACACTGCCTGGAGTGACCTCTGAGGCTAGATTCAGGAGTCACCCCTAGCATGTATCTCCAACTTCCAAATGCTTTTAATAAAGCATTAGAATCAGGTAAAGGGAAGAGGGAGGAGTACGTAAATAGAATTGAACTGGTTTGTGTGTATACATATACACATTTATATATGTGTGTGTTCTTTGAGAATGTCTCAAAAAACTATGGATTTGATTTTTTGTCAGAAGAAACAGTATGAAATCAGGTATTTGATTTCTGAGTTTCTGAGTTTTACTTTCAAAGAAACTATGGATCTAGTTGTAAGGAACCTTTACTGTTCAGACTTACAACTAAACCTTTGAACAAGATCAGCTTTTTTATTTCTCAAAGAAAATATAAACATCTGCTAGTATTGCCAAGGAATTTAATAGAAAGGAAAATAGCATTCAGAGAATAAGAGGATCCATAGAAAAAAAATAACAAGAAAACATCTAGGGTAAGGAACTCTCACAATATTTCTCCTGGAGAATTTAATAATTTTCACTAGTTACTATTGTACGTTTTCATTCTTTCCAAATGGGAGTGTTTATTATGACAATATAGTCTTTGTCTCAGCATTGCCTAGTGGGAGGGGAGGGGCATGTGTTTTAGATTATTTATTATTATTTAAAATTTTATTTAATCACTTTGAATTACAAAGTTATTCATGATTGGGTTCAGGCATATAATGTTCCAACACCAGTCCTTTCTAGTTTCTAGTAATTTCTAGTGTCCTCTATTAAAGTCCCTTGTTTTCCTCTCACCCACCAAGCTGTCTCCATGATAAGAACTAAATATATAAATATGTATATATATACTAAATAAGTACATATAAACCACATATATGTACATAGAAATACAGACATATATATATTTGTGGTTTATATATGTATTTTATACACACCACACATACATACACACACACACATATATGTTTCATGCATAACACTTTGCCACCTTTTAGCACCTTCTCCACCTCCCAGTTGATCACTTCCCTCCATCAGTTATAGTGTTCTCTTCCCTGTCCTATTCCCACCCCCACCATCAAATAGCACTTAAAAATCACATTACTTTTACGGAAACTTTATTTTAAGTTATGCTATCAAAAAATATTATTTTCTCAGGGCCAAAAAGTAGGATAGTGGACGAGGTACTTCCTTTACATGCAGTTAACATGATACCCTGAGCATAGACACAGGTGTTAGCCCTGAGCACAGCAGGATGTGGTACCCAAAATAAAACAAATCCCCAATTTTTAAAAAATTTGTATAGTTTTTAATTTTCTTAGGAATTAATCACGATGTTTAATAGTTTTTGAGCACCTTGGTTGAGTTGTGTCATAGTGAATAGGGAGAACAACACTTTCTTTGCTCTTACAACTTCTTGAGTTATAAAAAAGTAATGAAAAATAAAAGAAATAATTTTTTAAATACAGAAAAGGAAAAATGATACATATTCAGTATTTCTGTTTAACACACTATGAAAGGGGCTGGAGCGATAGCACCGTGGTAGGGCATTTGCCTTGCACATAGCCAACATGGCCGACCCGAGTTCGATTCCTCCACCCCTCTTGGAGAGCCCAGCAAGCTACCGAGAGTGTCTCGCCCACACGGCAAGCTACCCGTGATGTATTCGATATGCCAAACACAGTAACAACAAGTCTCACTATGGAGACGTTACTGGGCCCACTGGAGCAAATCGATGAACAACGGGAGGACCGTGACCGTGACACTATGAAAGGGAAAGAAACCACTTTTACCCTATTAGATATAAAGGGAAGGAGAAGAGATTGAGAGGTACATTTTCTAAAATATTCTGTTTAAACAAAGTTCTAGTTTATGCTACTGGTCAAAACACATACACACAGATGATAAATCTACTAGTAAATGTACAAATTTTAAGTCTTTATTAGCAATATCAATTCCTTGTTCTGGGAACAATTTTGTTAACATATTGTTACACTTAGGACAGTAGCTTCTCTTCTGAGGGGGGAAAATAGTTCTTGTTTTTCTTGACTATCTTATAATAAATTGTTTAAATTTGTTTTTTTTCCTATAAATATGGTCTTCAATATTTTTAATTTGCACCAAAGAGGTAGCATAGGAGGTAAGGAATTTGCTTTGCATGTGGCTGATTTCTGCTTTGAATATGAGCACTGCATATAATCCCCTGAATACTGTTGGGTATAGTTTCAAAACATCCCCGATTTTTTGTTTCATTCTAAAAAGATGTAGCACCATAGCACTGTCCTCCTGTTGTTCATCGAATTGCTTGAGCGGGCACTAGTAATGTCTCCATTGTGATACTTATTGTTATTGTTTTGGGCATATCGAATATGTCATGGGTAGCTTGCCAGGCTTTGCCGTGCGGGTAGAATACTCTCGGTAGCTTTCCGGGCTCTCCAAGAGGGGAAGAGGAATCGAACCTGGACCAGCCGCATGCAAGGTGAATGCCCTACACACTATGCTATCGCTCTAACCCTTAAAAGATGTTTGCTTCTTAATATTTGTTATATTTTATTTTTTTCATTTTAATATAAGAACTTTAGCCACATTAAACATTTAAAACATTTCCAACTATGGGACATTGTTAAGCATTTTTCAAAAATAAGGTTGAGCGATAGCACAGTGGTGGGGCGTTTGCCTTGCACGCAGCCAACATGGCCGACCCGAGTTCGATTCCTCCGCCCCTCTCGGAGAGCCTGGCAAGCTACCGAGAGTATCTCGCCCGCACGGCAGAGCCTGGCAAGCTTACCGTGACGTATTCGATATGCCAAACACAGTAACAACAAAGTCTCCAATGAAGACGTTACTGGGCCCGCTCGAGCAAATCGATGATCAACGGGAGGACCTTTACCTTTACCTTTACCAAAAATAAGGTTATAATATTTATATATTATGCATTAGTATCTATTATTCTTTGCTGTGAGAAATGTGATAGAAAGCATAGGAAGGAAAGAAGTTTTGAGAGCTATGAAACTATTAAGAACATCTGGTTCCTTTCTTTCTACACTGAAGATCAGAAACTGTCCTTGAACCAGCAGTTGAAGAACGCTGGTTAAGCCTGTTTTATTATATATATATATATGTAGATATGTATGTGTATATATATATGTATATGTATGTGTATATATATATGTATGTATGTGTATACAGAGGGATAGATACATACAGAGAGAGAGAGAGAGAGAGAGAAAGAGAGAGAAAGAGAAAGAGACGTTGCCAGTCACAACCCTGGCAGCATCAAGATTGTGACAATTGCGACTCCTTATTAAAATGCTCTGACTGAGTTACAATTAAGTTAGATCATTTAATGTTTGTAAGATTGATAGTTTAATTTATAGAATTGGTAGTTTTCAAATATAAAATTAAAATGCTAGTGTCTAAAACATCAGAAGATCAGTGCTAGGGAAATAGCTTGAAGGGAGCCCCAAGTTTGATCCCAAGCACTGCATGATCCCCTTGCACCTCTGAGAGTGAGCCAAGCAGTGTATTGCTGGGAATATTAGCCCTTAGTCTCTACTTGGTGTGTTCCAAAAACTGTGTGTGTATGTGCATATATGTGAATATATGTGTACATATGTGTATATATATATATATATCAGAAGATTACATAAGGGAATGTTTTTAATTTTCTGAAATGTTTATATTTTGAATATAATAAACTTTAATTTTAAATGTTATGTAAATAGTAATAAAATCAATAATAAGTCATGTATATAACATATGAAAATATTATAAGCCTAACTAATCAATCACACTTGTTATTTTAGCTGTGTAGGTTTAAAACCAGCAATTTTTAACAAAGTTAACTTGTACTTTCAAGTCTTCATTTTGTGACTTCCCAGGATAATAAGAAGTGCAGTTTTAAATGCACTGTAACATTAAGTGCAATGTAGCAGTCAATTTATTTTTATTTCAACTCTTTAATTGCTGTTTGCCTAGGAGATAGTGAGCTTAGAAGAATGTCAACTTCCAAAAGACATTTTGAAAAAACAAATACAGTTTGCAGACCAAGAAGCTTCTTTAAACACTACAGGGAATCCTCAGATTTCCCAAGAAAGTCAAGATCCCTTACCAGAACAAGATTTTGAAATGTCACCAAGTAGCCCAACACTACTACTTCGCAACATAGAGAAACAGGTAATGTAAGAATATGATAATTTTATAAATGGTTGAATAAAACAAGTGTGTTGGCCTGGGATATGAGTTACGTACTGGTTACTTTACATTTAAATAGAATTGAAATTGTAACATGATTGGTCTCAATTATAATGTTGATATAAGTAAGGTTAAATATAATACATGTAGTATTACTGTATACCTATTTGTCTTTCACTTATACCAGGGTTGAAAATTTATTTTTGTAACAAAATTGCTCATCATTGGGATTTTTTCACAGTGAAAATAGATTGAAATAGTTGTTTATTAATATTACAGATTTCTTAATGAAAGGTAATATTGGTTCTTTAATAAAATGATCACATAAAATCAAAGCTAGATGTACTCTATGCAAATTACTTAAATTTCAAGGGTTTTTTTTGGTATTTAAATCCTACTCTGGATAATTCCAGAATGTTAATTTATCCTGTCTCTATTCTGTAAAATTAAACCACTTATTTGGTTTAAATCTGGGTGGTTTGGGAATGAACCTGATCTTCTAGGAGTTTGTTACCTAGAAGTTAACCAGACTTAACATGCTGGAATATACACGGTTGTGAGCTCCGCTTATGATTATGTTTCAGTGGGTAATACAGATTGAAACCTGCCTACATCTATATTTTTTCTTGCTTACATTGTGAAATAACTTAGTGCCACATTACTATACTTAATGCTGGTAAATCAGAATATGGTATAATTTCTTCTACTTTTATAGTGTTAAATTTGCAGTTGCCTAGAATTTTCCTTTTATTTGAATGTATAAAAATATTCTTGAGTATTTTATAATTCAGGAAGTTATTTTGCAATTATCTGATGTTAAATTCCATGTAAGTGGTGTAAGTGCGGATTATGTTACTCTCTCTCCTAAACCCAGTAGGATCCAAGTTCTTTCAGTTTGATCATAGTTGCTTTAAACTGCAGCATAAGCCTATTGGTTTGATAGATTTTCTGCTTTGTTTATCTTTAGATCACATAAAAATATTCTTTGAAAAGAGATTTCTTGGATTTTTTTCCCCTTGGCAACACCAATTTGTTTGGTTTGCCCAGTTAGCATATTTCACCACCGTATAATGGTCACCACCATATAATGATCAGACCCCATTGTTTCCCCAGTAATTTTGGTATAGTTACTTTAAAAAGCTTTACATAAGTGGCCACACCCCCACCTATCTATGAAAAAGAATGTTGTCATAAAATCTGTAACAATTTTGTGGTGAAGTTCAATAATATAAAAATTGACCTTTGGGGGAGCCCAATGAAAAATTAAATTACGTGTTCTTTGTTAGAAATGTTTAAGGTAAAGGTAAAGGTAAAGGCCCTCCCGTTGATCGTCGATTTGCTCGAGCGGGCCCAGTAACGTCTCCATTGGAGACTTTGTTGTTACTGTGTCTGGCATATCCAATACTCTCGGTAGCTTGCCGGGCTCTCCGAGAGGGGCGGAGGAATCGAACTCGGGTCGGCCATGTTGGCCGCTTGTAAGGCGAACGCCCTACCCGCTGTGCTATCGCTCCTATTCCCAGAAATGTTTAGTAGAATTAAAAATTAAGAATCTCAAATCAATGGTAGCAAAGCATTAACCAAACATAGGTCCTTCCTTAGTGTAGTCCTATGACAATGACCAGGTTGCTCATCCATGAAAGTGGCCTTTCAAGAATAAAATCCTGTTCATTGCAAATAGGAATGCCAGGGTTATTTTAGATAAGGAAACAACCACAAGTTGTGAGACCAAAAATAATGGATTTAACCTTAGGAAAAATAGAAAAAATAGGATGCAGAAAAGGGGCAATAGCTACCACTTATCAATATTATTGGTATGTTGCTGATGAATAAGTCATTGGTCATTGTTTTTGCTTTCATAGGCCATTTTCTAATCAATATTTGTTACTAAAGACAGTTAAGGGGTAAGTTGTGACAACCCTGATAATATCTATATATATCTCCCTGATATATATATATATATATATATATATATATATATATATATGCTTTGGGGGGCACATCCAGCAGTGTTCAGGCATTACTTCTGTCTCTGCACTCAGGAATCAATCCTGGCAGTACTCGAGGCACCATATGGAATGCAGGCTATCGAATCCAGGTGAGAGGTGTGCAAGGCAAACACCCTACCTGCTGTTCTGGCTCTTAGCTATATTTTTTGAAAGCTCTTTTGTTAGTATTCACTGACCAGAGTGAAACTTGAATACATATCAGGTAATCCTTTGATTTGATTTGCTGATTTTGTTATAAGAATGCTTTGTTTATCAAATAGTAATTATTCACTTGTCTCAAGTCGTTAATGAGATTGCAGTTAAAATAAAACAAACACTGTTGAATTAGATGCTAGGAATAGTTTTTAAAAAATAACATTGACTCAAAATGGCAATACTACCGAAAGAATTGTATAAATTCAATGCAATCCCTATAAGGATACCCATGACATTCTTCAAAGAAATGGAGCAAACACTCTTGAAATTTATATGGAACAATAAGCCCCCACGAATAGCTAAAGCAATTCTTGGGAAAAAGAAAATGGGAGGAATCAACCTCCCGAACTTCAAACTGTACTACAAAGCAGTAATAATTAAAACAGCATGGTACTGGAACAAAGGCAGAACTGCAGACCAATGGAACAGGGTTGAATACACTGACATCTCTTCTCAATCATATGCTCATCTAATCTTTGATAAAGGTGCAAGTAATGTGAAGTGGAGTAAGGAAAGCCTCTTTAATAAATTGTGTTGGCATCACTGGACGGCTACATGCAAAAAAATAGGCTCAGAACTCTGCCTAACACCATGTACAAAAGTAAGATCAAAATGGATTAAAGACCTCAACATCAGACCAGAAACCATAAGGTACATTGAAGATAAAGTTGGCAAAACCCTCCATGACATTGAAGCTAATGGTATCTTCAAAGATGCCACGCCACTGGCCGAGCAAGTGAAAACAGAGATAGATAAATGGGACTATCTTAAACTAAGAAGCTTCTGCACCTCCAAAGAAACAGTGACCAAAATACAAAGACAGTCTACAGAATGGGAAAGGATATTCACCGAATACACATCTGACAAGGGGTTGATATCCAGGATATACAGAATACTGGTTAAACTCCACAAGAAGAAAACATCCAACCCCATCCAAAAATGGGGCAATGAAATGAACAGAAACTTTCTCAAAGAAGAAATCCGAATGGCAAAAAAGCACATGAGAAAATGCTCTACATCATTAATCATCAGGGAGATGCAGATCAAAACCACAATGAGATACCATCTCACACCTCAGAGACTGGCCCACATCCAAAAGAACAAAAGCAACCGATGCTGGCGTGGATGTGGCGAGAAAGGGACACTCCTTCACTGTTGGTGGGAATGTCCACTGGTTCAGCCCTTCTGGAAAACAGTATGGACGATTCTCAAGAAATTAGAAATTGAGCTCCCATTTGACCCAGCAATACCACTCCTGGGAATATATCCCAGAGAGGCAAAAATGTATAGTCGAAGTGACATCTGCACTTGTTTGTTCATTGCAGCGCTCTTTACAATAGCCAGAAACTGGAAGAAACCTGAATGCCCAAGAACAGATGACTGGTTAAAGAAACTTTGGTACATCTACACAATGGAGTACTATGTAGCTGTTAGAAAAGATGAAGTCATGAAATTTACATACAAGTGGTACAATATGGAAAGTATCATGCTAAGCGAAATGAGTCAGAAAGAGAGGGATAGACATAGAAAGATTGCATTCATCTGGGGGATATAAAGTAACAAAGTATGAGATTAATACCCAAGAATAGCTGAGATCAGCACCAGGAGGATTACTCCATAACTTAGAGGCCAGCCGGGTATCCTAGAGGAAAGGGCAGTTCAGATAGAGAAGGGAGCACCAAATAAAGGATGTTTGGAGGATCCTCCCAGGAGGGGAGATGCATGTCAAAAGTAGACTATGGACTGAACATGTTTGCCACTCAATGCCTCTTTTGCAGACCACAACACCCAAAAGGAGAGAGAGAACACAGGGGATTGCCCTGCCACAGAGACAGGGGGGATGGGGGAATGGGGGTGGGAGGGATATTATCCATGGTGGTGGAAAATGGGCACTGGTGGAGGGATGGGTATCTGATCATTGTATAATTGAAACCAAAGCACAAAAAATTGTAAATCTACAACTTTAAAAAAAAATAAAATAAAATAAAGGGGAAAAAAAAAAAGAAAATAAATTATATCTTGATCTATCCTAAAAAAAAAAATAAAATAACATTGACTCATGGTATTAATGCCTTCTTGAGTCATTAGATAATTTGCTCATACATTGAAAGGTAATTTTGTTTTAGATTTAATGATTTAAAATAAATTTTATGCTAGTGCATTTATATTAGGAATCTTGCTATAAATGTTGAGTATTTTGTCTTAAAATCTAAAAAAATAGGTAATGGATTATAAGACTATATATGTCTTAGGGATGCAGCTTCACACTCTACAAAATACGCATTTTGTACTTTCAAAGTTGATACTAGTTTTTGGTTTAAAGTTCAAACTATTTTGCTTTTTTAAATTCGTACTGTGTCCTTTGTATCCAACTGTGAACTTGGGCTAAAATATTTCATTCAACTATACTGAATTAGTTATTAGAGTGAAGCTAGGGATTTGTTTTAATACTCTGCTCTTCTTCTGGGCTAATTATTCACACACACTTGATCAGTGATCCCTGGTGACTTAAAATGTTTCAGATGCTGTTTTTGGAGGTAGGTGACCGTATGTCAGTGTTTCAGAGTAGAAATAAGAAATTAATCAATAAACTTTTTTGCAACACTAAACAAATGTTTAAATTGGTTTGTATTGGTTATTTTGAAAGTCACTGTCACTGTCCTCCCGTTGTTCATCAATTTGCTCGAGCAGGCCCAGTAACGTCTCCATTAGAGACTTTGTTGTTACTGTGTTTGGCATATCGAATACATCACGGGTAGCTTGCCAGGCTCTGCCGTGCGGGCGAGATACTCTCGGTAGCTTGTCGAGCTCTCCAAGAGGGGCAGAGGAATCGAACTCGGGTTGGCCATGTTGGCTGCGTGCAGGGCAAACTTTAAAAAATGTGTGGCAATTTTAAAATAAAGTATTATTTTTTTTAAAAACATGAAATATTTTAGGATCGTTTTCATGAGTGACTTTTGAAATTCTCCTAATGTTAGATTAACTCTATTGTATTCTTTAGTAATTTTCAAGAGCATAATCTTATTTTTATATAGACCAAAAATTATAAAATATAAAATTTCCAATTTTCTGAAGTGAATGTGAATCACATGTGTAATGAAAATGGTTGTCATTCTTGTATAGAAAAGTACTGTTTTAATTTTGGGGGTTATGTTAAATTTTGAGAATAATTTAATATGTATTACATATTTTAAGTTATAGTACCTTTAATTATTACGATCACAATCATCCTGTTGTTCGTCGATTTCCTTGAGCAGGCAGCAGTAACGTCTCCTTCTTCCTAGCCGAGATTTTTTTTTTAAAAAGATGGGATTTATAGGCACTGATGATTAATATTCACATCTTTCCCATTCTTATTCCTCTCTTTTTTTTTTATTAAAAAATTTTTAATAGTGAGACATCATGAGGTACAGTTGCAGACTTACACATTTTTGTGCTTGGGTTTCAATTATACAGTGATCAAACACCCATCCCTCCACCAGTGCCCATTTCCCACCACCATAGATTCCAGTATCCCTCCCACCCCCTATCCCCCCCCCATCCCACCCTGTCTCTAGCCCTGAGATTTTAGATTGACACTAGCCCTGAGATTTTAAAAGAGCCATTTCAGTGCTCTTTCAGGATTAGGAGAATGAGACCCATCATTGTTACTGGTATTTGGCATATTGAGTACGACACGGGAAGTTTGAATTATTAGGATAAAGGTCATTAAATATTTAAGATAACTGAAAAACTGAATTGAATTAGGAAAAATATTGAGAAAAAGCATGGCATTGGATTCAAACCTTAGTCCTAACATTATCTCTTATCAAGTTTATGATAATTGATCAAACTTCTAAATATTTCTTTGCTCCAATTTCCTCAACTGTAAATTATCATAATTATTGTAGAATCAGTAACTTTTCAAGATTTATTTTGCATATTATAAATATTAAAAATATTGTTAGTACCTAATATAGTGCCTGGCACTTAACAGTAAATACTAATAAATTATGGCTTTGTTTGTTGTTAATTTGTCTGACTCAAAATATGTTTTTTTTAATTATTTTAGAAGATGGGAACGAATAAAAAATTGTAATAAAAAGAATATAGACGGCTGGAGTGATAGCACAGCACGTAGGGCATTTGCCTTGCATGCAACCGACCCGGGTTCGATTTGCAGCATCCCATATGGTCCCCCCTCCCCCCAGAATTGCTAGGAGTAATTCCTGAGTGCAGAGCCAGGAGTAACCTCTGAGCATCGCTGGGTGTGACCCCTCCCCCAAAAAAAAGAAAGAAAGAAAAAAGAATATAGAAAAAGAGATGTTTATTGCAGTGTATATTTTATGTAAAATAAATGGGAACTCAGTTTTATAATTCATTGTTACATCAAAACGTGTACTAAAATGTACATTTATTTATTTATAAGAATGTAGTCATTTCATCAGAATAAGAACTGAGATTTTACTTGTATTTTTTGTTTAGCACTAGTAAAAGATGGACTGTTTCTTGCAGAGTGCACAGTTGACCGAGATCATCAACAGTTTGATCGCCCCTCTCAACTTGTCCCCCACTTCATCACCCCTCTCAAAATCCTGCAGCCATAAATGTCTGGCTAATGGCATTTCCAAAAGGTAGGTATTAATGGGAATTCTTTCTACTAAGTTTTTTCACATTTTTGTTTTGTTTTAATCTTTGAAGAGTAATAGTTGCTTTCTTCTTAATTATTCTGTTAGAATCAGTAACCATAGACATTATTATATTCATTAAACTTTTATAATTAAGGTAACTATGAATTTGAGAATGAACTAGAAAAGTTTCCAGGAAGTTTTATGTTTCTTGGGGGGGAAAAACAATACAATGCATTTGTTATAGAAATACTGCTTTTCTTGCTTGCTATACCATCTACATTTCCTTTTATATTTTTAAGGTTCATATTGCCAGTACATTTTTATAAAAAAAAAAACAGTTTGGTTATAAAAGACTGGTAGGTGTCATTCATAATATTTACCTTAGCATTTAATTGTTATGTATCTTAAAATTTGTAAGTTTTTTAATACAAAATTTCTATAGTCATTAGCAATTTTTATATTAGAAAAATTAAAAATTAACATAAAAATTAAAAATTAGCATAATGTTTCCTAACAGTATTTGGGAACAATGTATAATCTTTAATAGGGAAATGCATTTATCTTTTATTTTGCATGTTTTTCTTTTTGAACTTTTCCATTTAAACATGCATTTAGAATTAAAGATTTGAATTAGCTATCATGTTTTGTGTACTTCACCTAATTTGTTTCCATATAAAATTGTAATGTGAATATCTTTGCTTCACTATAAAGGATTGTATAGTATAGTATTTGAAATATTTTTATCGTTTAATATTAAAATATTTTAAATGTATCATAGGGGAAAATACATGCCATGGTGAAAATTATGCTATATAAATGGGCTGGAGCAACAGCACAGTGGGTAGGGTGTTTGCCTTGCACGCGGCCGGGTCAGCCAACCCAAGTTCGATTCCTCCGCCCCTCTTGGAGAGCCCAGCAAACCACCAAGAGTATCTCACCTGCATGGCAAAGCGGGGCAAGCTACCTGTGATGTATTCGATATGCCAAACACAGTAACAAGTGTCACAATGGAGACGTTACCGGGCCTGATCGAGCAAATCGATGAACAATGGGAGGACAGTGACAGTGACAGTGGATATAAATTAAATCTTAAAATACTGTTATGTGAATTTTTTCTAATGCTTTATTTTTTTTTCTAATGCTTTGTCTTTAAAGTCTAATTTTAAATAATTTTAGTTTATTTTTATTGGATCATTTATCCATTGCTCTTTCATGTTTTCAGTTCTATTGCTTTGATTTTTTTGGTGTTGATTTTATATTCATTATATCACTTATAGTTTACTTTAAAGATTCTGATATGTGTGTAGGGAGATTATGGTATAAATTGTGAGAAAATCATTAAGATTTTCTCTAATTAAGAAAATCATAATTATAAATTGAGCTATAAGCACCATCAGATATATGTATAAGCATTTTAGTTTGGGGATAAGCCCTGTTTAGATATATTTTATTTGTCAAATCAGCCACTGTACTATTATACATGTGCCTGCATGTTTATGTGTGCATATATATATTTTTTTGTTTGTGTTGATGTGTCCTTGTTTTTTTGCTATTTGTTATATACTACACAATTATATGCTATATACCATATAGTCCATCTTAGGGATGTAAAAATGTAAAGATGAAAGTCTCCAGTTTATTTTTTTATTGTTTGGGGCTTATACCCAGAGGTAATCAGGGCTTCCTCATGGCTCTTTGCATCAGGAATCATTATTGGTTGGTCTTGAGGTACCATATAGTTTGCTGGGGATTGAAGCTGGGTTGATCACCTGCAAGGCAAGTGTCCTACTTGCAGTACTATTGTTCCAACCCCTAAAATCTCCTGTTTTAAATTATTATCTCTAGTAGGTAAAGTATAATTTATAACGTATACTGTCAATAAAGTTGCATGCAGTTGTTTGAATATTTTTTTTATTTGCTTTTGTCTTTGGACCACACCTGTCAGTGCTTAGAGATTATCCTTACTCTGCATGCAGGAATTACTTCTGGAGGTGCTTGGAGTACCATATATGATGCTGGTTCAGCCATGTGGTGCTTAGGTTACCATATAGGAATTCTAATCAGCCACGAGTAAGGCATACACTCTGCCCAATGTGCTATCACTCCGGCCCCTGAATATTTTTGTTTTAATAGTTGTCATAGTTGACTTTCGTTGTTTTTATTGTTTGGAGAGTCATACTCAGTGATGCTCAAGGGTTAATCCTGACTCTGCATTCAGGAGTTACTCCTGGTGGTGTTTGGAGGACCATATGGGATGCCTGGAATTGAACCCAAGTTGATCACGTGCCAAGTCACTTGCTGTACTGTTATTGTGGCCTCTAGTTGTCATAGTTGAAAAATATAACTCAATAAAGGTAATAAACTGAAATCAAAGAAATATCATCTTTACTATCATTACTAAATAGTTTTTTTCCATCCTGTAAATTAAAACATAAGATGACAAAAAAAAACCTAAAGATATAAAAATTTCAGCCATTTTTTTTTCAATTCGTTGTTTTCCAAACTAATTGGAGGTTTTATTTGACTTTTTTGTTGTTGTTGTTGTTGTTGATTGGTTGTATTTTTTTTTGAGTTCTTAAGAGATATTTATCTAAAAGAACTGAAACAAGAGACAAAGGGCAAGAAGTTTACAAAGTATATTCTAAGCAGAATTGCTAGAAGGTGTATTTAGAAAGTTTTCAGAGGTTCAAAATAGAAAAAATTGAAAATAGAAAAATTGAAAATAGAAAAAAAAATTCTACAAATTTTTGTGGTATTTTAGTGTGTATTATTTTTAATTATTTTTATTATTTTTTAACAATCAACATTTTCAAAATATTTCTACACAATTTGAGTTTCTTTAAAAAGGATTTATTATCTTTGCCTATGTGAGGCCCTGAATTTGATCCCTGACACTGAAAAAAAAAAGAAAGAAAATCACATACAGAGAACAAAAAGCATTTATTTGGGGGAAGAGGAAGCTACTTCAAACTGCTATAGCATATGCTTGCCAAGCACATGTTCTTAAGTTTAGCTCCTGATACTTGATGTCCCCCAAAGCTACCAGGCATAGCTCTGGTGGCTCCCAAACACTCTCAAAATCACCATTGTGGAGTTTAGCACTGCTGAATCCAGAAGCACCGTGTTACTGGGCCAAAGAATTGAAGCGTAAGACCCAAACGCTGAATTGCCTGGCCTACACAGCTAGACCACGTATCGCTGCAGTGACCCCTGTACCCTCAGCACACTGCTTCATAGGTAGGGAAAAATGGAAAACATAACCTAAAATACAATTTTGGGAGAGAATAGAAGCTGTATTGCTCTGTATTTCTTCACATGTGAAGCCCCTTTCACTGTTCAGTTCCCCCACCCCCAAAGCGTTTGTTTCTCAGGTGGAGAGATAGCGTAGGGATTATCACTATGTACAACGCACTTACCTTGTACATAGCTGACCTTCCTTCAGTGCCTGGCCCTGCAAATCGTCCCAGAGCACAAAGCCAGAAATAAGCTGAGAGCACAGCTGGGTCTGAGACAAAGACTTAAAATTTATTTTGATATTGTTGTCAAAATAAATTTTCCTTTGAAAGTATATAGTGTATTTCTTTTATAACATTTATTCCAAAATGTAATATAGCAGCTTTTTTTGAAGAAAGCCTTTTCCAGCAGTGCTTGGTTCTCTAGGGGCCACTCCTAGCAATACTAAGTAAGTAAGCCGGGCTGAGTTGGACTTAACAAGTATCTGGACCAGGCGATGCAGTGTTGCTCTCGTAGACTGTGCTAAAGGTGCGTAGGGCCACCACCCCTATGCCCACTGGTGTTTTAGGGGTCTATGCTGTACCAGGGATTGAACTCAGTGCCTTCAGGGATGGGTTACAACACTTTGGGCTGTTGTTCTGCTCTTGAAATATAACTACTTTTTTTAATCAAAGAGAAAGTAAGCAAACTTAGAATATTAGAGGTCCTGCCTAAATGTCAATTTTTATTTTTAAGAATGTTTTGCAGTGCCAGAGATCTTTAGTTGAATGTTAATTCTATAGATCTAACATTTTGTATTACATTTGAGGGGCTGGAGCGATAGCCCAGTGGTAAGGTGTTTGCCTTGCACACAGCCAGCCCGGCTGAGCCGGGTTTGATTCATCTGCCCCTCTCAGAGATTCCGGCAAACTACCAAGAGTATCTCGCCCGCATGGCAGAACCTGGCAAGCTACCTGTGATGTATTCAATATATATTCAATATGCCAAACACAGTAACAACAAGTCTCAAAAAAAAATGGAGACGTTACTGGGCCCCCTCAAGCAAATCGATGAACAACGGGAAGACAGTGTTTGTTTTTTGTTTGTTACATTTGAGAACATTCTCATAGATTGTAACAATCTTTGTAGTATGTGACTGCTATAAAACATAATCTTATAGTAATATATTAAATAGTTTTGGTTTAAAGATACAGGTTGTAACACAATGTAAAATTTATGTATTTATAATACTTTTACCCTTGGAATATAATAGTAAAATATTCTAGTTTTGCTTCTTATTTCTTGCTATTTTTCAGTAGTCAATATGTTCTACTGGTCTGTAGGGCTCTCTTTATTCTGGTACCAGGCAGTTGATTATTTTACCATTGTATAGTTCAGAGTTGGGAAATGCAATATCTCCCATATACTTTTTCCCCCCCATAAGTTACCCTTTTTGGTTAATAGTAAACTTAACAATTCATATTTTCTTTGGTAGTTCAAACATAATTATGACCACATCTTTATGGACTGTTGATTTTAGTAACTGCATACTGTAAAATGATTTACTTAGTAATCAACATATTTGATGTAGGATTTCATTGTACCAAACTTTAGAATGGAATTTTAAATAGAATTTAGTTTTAAATATGAACAGATCTGTCTTTATCCTCATTTCTTGTTGGGGAAAATTGGCATCAACCAAAGAGTCACAAGAAAATACATAATTTTAAACTCTGATCAAGTGTTTTCAGAGCATTGTGACAATAGGCAACTTTACTGTTCACAGATAA